GCGGGCGCGGCGAAGACGTCTGCAGGAGCTGCAGGAGCTTTGTGGGTTTGTGACATTAAAGATACAATTTGTGTTTTATACATCTTAAAATAGGATAATTGAATTTTTAAACACACATTATAATATGGCCTGAACCCTCGCATTCGTATGCACGGGCTGGGATATCAGATGAACTGCGATTTTGCACCCTTTACCACCGGGTGCAGGGTGAGTCCAACCGGACAGCTATAGCTGTGAAGGAGAATTGGAAGTTCTGCAGCAGAAAAATGACGACTTGGGAGCAGGCCGTACGGCCCAGAGTAGCCCACAGCGGGCGGAGTAGCCAGTCATTTTGACACGGCGCAAAGTGGTCACAGCGACCGGAGCAGGCCGTACGGCCCAGAGTAGCCCACAGCGGGCGGAGTAGCCAGTCATTTTGACACGGCGCAAAGTGGTCACAGCGACCCTCAACCATTGGATCTCGGCCCGGGCCTTAATTTTACTACTGGTAACCGAGCTTTAATTTCACCTCCCTCTCCTTTTTGCTTTTTCTTCCTCCACCCTTTCCTTTTGTGGGTGGACGGTTGGGTCGTAGCTAGGAGATCTATAGGAGCATCCCCGAATATAATATAGGACTGAGTGTTTGTTGATGGTTTAGCCACTGTATACATTGAGAACATCAACATTCAGCTCAGCTGATGCTTCCCGAACTGCTTTGGTTCCTGCAACAATCCATGCAGTCCTCGATTTGCTTCGGTGGACCGTCTCTCTTTCCGTCTCTTCGGCGACTCCGCCGTCGAGGAGACAAGGCGAAGGAGGACTCCGACTACGAGACGGATACCTCAGCGTCCAGCCCACGGGCGCAAGACTCCCGGAGAGAAGACAGGTCGGCGTCTGGCGTGGCGGATCGGCTGGCGTGGTGGACAGGATCGTGAGTTTTGGGTTTTCAGTGTGTGTTTTGGGTTCTGCAAGTTTCGAAGCTGGAATTGTATGTCCAGCAGAGAATGGAAGAACATGTACAAACAGGACAAAGACAAAGACACTGCGTAGCCATACTCGTTTTGGCATCCTTAAAGACTGTAAGACATTGCCAAACCATTTGGATTCTTCCTCTTTGGCCCTATCAGAGCACAGCACATAGAAGTGAAATGAATCAGAATGAATATGAAGAATGTGTTGTTTAGATCTTGTTCTATGCCATGCATGTTATTGTCCATATTGCCCCGTTTGTCCATGTCGCCAGGCATCCAATGCCACCACCTGCTGGGCTGCCGCCAGATGAGGCAATTCCCCAAAGACTGTTTGACAGCGATGGCCTCCAACCGAATAGCATTGCCTTCCACCCTCAGAGCGATGGCCTCCACCCTTAGTAGCGATGGCCTCCAATCCAATAGCGATGGACCTCCAATGAACCATATGATTTTCCGTGATCCTTTGTTGTCCTTTCCGAGCATATAGATGTGCTGCGAACCTTTGCGGGTTGGACATGTACCTGCTGCATGGACCGGACATATCGCACCACGTCGCAGCTCATCGCACCGCTAATCGGTTGGTCCAAGAGTGTAAACCTTTTGTTGGTAACTGCCGGTTACCAACCATCATCCACCCTGAAAAACAATGGCGATGGGATCCTACCCTGGCTCACCATCATGTTTTGTACATGTTCTGGATGTGGTTGAGTAATTCGTGGCACAGCTGGGTGGCAGGAATCAACGGAAAATGGGTCACCTTCTCCACAGAAGTCCTGACGCTCTAGGGCTCCAAACTGAAGATGTCAGAACAGAAATGGGTTTGCCAGGAATCTTGTCTTAACAGATTCTTCTATAATTATGGGATATGACTCCAAGGTGGATGCGAATCTCAAGGTCAACAACCGACAAGACACATTCCGCCATTTGATCCCCATCATTCGGCTTTTCCTTTTGTTCTACCACCGCACTTGAAAGTTGAAAGCGGTGAAGCGCTGGGGAGTGGAGCGCTGGATCCATCCAATTCCCGCTCAGCTGGGAGGCCCAACAGGCGTTTCAGCGGTGGCAGGTGTGGAACCCCCAACTGGAGCGAATGGGAGGGGGCCCGCTGAGAGATGATGAAAGGATTTCTGTGCACTTCACCCTGCAGAATTGCACAGCCCAGGCATGCCATGGAGCATGTTTGTGCGAGTTTACCCGAGGTGATGATTTTTGTAACAGGTTCGTTCTTCAATTCCGCAGCGGTCGCAGCGGTCGTTCACTGCTGAGATTGGTCAGAACTGACGAGTGTGTTACTGCAGTACTGACATGCCGGGACTGACGAGTTCACCCTCGATCTGACGACTTGCGAACGGCGAGCTGATGTTGTTTGCGTTTTAAAAGCTACGGGTCGGCACACATATAGACCGTCAATGGGTGGGAAGCAGACAACAGTCCCCGCGAGGGAGCAGGTTGCATGTGTGAGGTCTTATTGTCCTGGCATGGGACGTGGTGCCTTCCTACCAGCAGAGGGTGTGAACGGTTTTTGGTTGGTGGAACTCCAAAAACAAACAACTCAAATTAGATGGCTAGATCCATGGTGAACCGTTTTGCCGAACTTGCGGTCAGGCGATGGCTGCAGCACTGCATCCGAGCATGTCACCACCTGAGATGAAAGTCCAAACTGGTGTACCAAATGTCACGACTCAGGTGCTGCTCTTCAGGTTGGAGGCCATCGCTAGTAGGTGTTGTTTTTTCCCCAAACAGTTTTATTGCCTATTACTGTTGGGGGTTCTTTCTTAGGAGAAAAGAAGCTGGGCCGCAGTCTCTGGCCGCACCGGTAAACCCTTAAGCTTCCAGGCGTTGTCCTCCTGCAAGCTAAGCTGTTTGGGGTCTATGCTGGTATAATTGCATTGTATATATTATGTTTCATGCACCTACATGTCTGTCAGTCCTCGTGAGGTTCCAAGCTTTTCGCGTGCCGTTTTTTTCCACATCATACAGTGCCGATTCACATCCTTTGGTCTCACGAGGTCCTTTTCGAACTACTATGGCTTTCTTCAGAAGCTCGGGTACGGATCTGGCTCGGAGTGATCGCTGGGGCGCCATCGCATGGGAGTGATCGTTGGATCGAATCCGGCGCTGTTGCTTGTTGCTGGATGTTTTAAGAACCGCTACCTGTGCTGCAGCGGCATGTTCTTGAGACTTGTTGATCCGTCTTGGCTTTTTGGGCAACCGGAACCTCTCTCTCATTTTCATGGTGGGCAGCGCTTCTTGTCAGACACTTTGCAGATGGCGAAACCAGGTTTTTGGCCACAGGGCCATCAAACTACTAGACATCGAAAGCTGTCCCCCCAGAGGTGTAGGTGTACTCGATTACTTGTCCATCTCCTTATAAGTAGACTATAGACATTTTACTGTGAATGTTGCTGCTGGGATTAGACTGATTAGATGTCTTTGCACATGTAAAGATGAGACATAAATTTGTATGGCATGAAGCAGCTTCTATTGAGCAGCTTTTAGTCCCGATCTCGCCACCAGCCGATCCCAGGAACATGCCACCGGCCTACTACTCTCAGTCTCATTCGAAGCTTGGAGCCGAACTGACGAAGCTATGTCACACAATCAGTGCACCCTGCCACTCTCCGGACAAGCCTTGCGATCAAGGTCAGGGGCCTAGGTCACGTCTCCCGAAAAGAACACCTCGGAAGCGGGCTCGAGGAAGTGAGGAAGAAGGGATGATGAAACTGACATGGATGAAACAAGAAATACTGGGACCACTCGAGGGGTGGCCAATAGACTCTGGTTATACCCGTAGATATCCGTAGATAACCCCCACACCACTTACTGCAACAGCACGATTTGTATAAGATCTCCATTGGACGCCCCTTGGATGACCGATATTGACACCCCTCTTGCCGGAAGGTGCCATCAATGCCCACCTCAAATCGCGGGTCGTCGCCCAAACACCAAGGACGCGCTATCGCGGCTACGAGGAGCGCTCGCACCGTCCGGGTGGCAAGGGCCGAGGGTCCGGGTGCCCCGGTGATGCTCGCAGCGTCTGAACGCGCGGAAGGGAGGTTCTGTTTCAGACCGTTCTTCGCTCCGGAGCGAGGAACGAATCGACTGGACTGTCTGTGAAGTCCGGTGTGTGTCTTCTTTTTTCCAAGTCAGGCTGCGGGCCGCTGGACGGTTTTTGGCCAGCAATGACATGGTTTTGGCCTTGTTCTGCCTTGTTCATAGAGCGAACTACCGAGGTATCACCACCAGGACCAGCAGATTACTGCACCGCGCTATAGGTGGCTTGGTTCTTGGTGGGAGGGTGCATGAATGACCGGCGGGATTGACTGGCAGTCTGTATTGCTGATTGCATTCGAGTGAACCATACAATATAATATCGATGAAATGACAGGCGTTGTCAGGTTTTAACCCATTTCCCGAAGTTGAGTGCTTAAATTAGATATTGATTATATTGTGTCCAGTGAATCCAGCAGCTACTTTGTTGCAACGGCATGAGAGTTTCCAGATCCGGTTATCCCTGAACAGAGATCGTTTAGTTGAAGGACACGATACACATGCGAGCTGAGTAAGCGCCTGGCCCGCCTGGCTGTCCACATGCCTCCATACCCTATCCACGTCACTTCCACTTATATAGATTCCCGGAGTGGGTGGAACTTCCACTCCACTTAATGTTTGACTTGTGAAACCCCAAAGTTGACAGAGACCAACAGATGAAGAGTCCTTCAACTCGGAGGACTCGTTGGGTGTCTAGCAATTGAGGATCCCCATGCACTTAGCCAACAAGCCATTCACTTTGCCAGCTCAACAGATTCTTGTCTCTCCACCAGTCGGTTTCTCCACCAAACACTCAAGCAAGATTCGTCGAATCGTATGAACGCCTTCGCAAGTTTCTTCAGAATCGAATCACTCTGGATATTTGTTTGACAACCTCCTCAGCCTGAGATGCCTCCATCGCCAGGCATGACCGCGAGCGTCGAGCATTCCGGGATGAGGGGCCGGTGGTGGCCTGAGGTCGAGCCATGGCGATGACGTTGCTCCGGTGCTTCAAAGTGGAGCATAACCGAATACCAACGTTTAATCTCAATGAGCATCAGCCACCTGCTTGAACCTTTCGGTTTTTCCATACCAATGTGCATGACGCGGTCTCCGGGTCTTCTCCTATGTTTGTTGCACGCTTTTTGCGACTCCGCAAGTTGCGTTCCACTCATCTTCGTTGGCACTTACCAGGCGAACACGCATGAGCGAACATCAAAGCCAGCGACGGAGGCCAGCACACGGATGAGCCTGGCTTTGGCCGAGCTCTTTTTTGGTTCATGCATTTGAGGACTATGAAGAGGCGAAAGAGAGGCTCGCTCCATGGCCTGAACACTGACTTGGTCTCATATCCAAACCATGGTGGAATGGAACACCAAAACAAACAACCTGCTATCAAAACAACCTGCTATCACGGCCGTAAGTTTGTATAGCTCACGGCCGTTTTCTACAGAGAGAACCAGTAGTAGGTAACCTTGCTGTTGATGCTTCAAAGGCGGATGAAGCGAAGAAAGAGGCCGTCCCGGCGGAACGGGAACGGGGGGTTGCGAAGAGGATAGATGATGCAGGTATGCAATAGACCGTGTCTATGGCGTGTTGATGATGATCCATGTTCGAATTTGTTTCTGCTTAAAGCAACAGCTTTATGTGTTTGGACATGGTGATGATGAAGCATTCAACTAATGCAAGACGACCTAAGTCTGGGGAATGCGCAACTGTCGAAACATGGACCTCACAGGTGCATGAGATCAGTACACAGATAGAATCAGATAGACTAGCATGCCCAGCAAGACCTAAACTGAGTGCTTTAACGGGAAGTTCCCTCTCTTGTTGCAGATGACGGCTAAACGGAGTTCCATCAGTCTTGTAACTCTGCTCCCAGTTGTCAACGTTCATGACGGATGATACGGCGAAAGGCCAACGCGGTTGAGACCTGCCGGAGAATGCGCCAGGCCAATCCTGAAGCTGCCAGCGCGGCTGCAGAGGCCTGTTAGACTTGGGAAGACGAACACAACTCTGGATGAAACACTAATGTAAGACCAGACTCTTGATTAATAACCCCCCCCACTATGCACAGGTTGTTCAATCCAAATTCAGGGCGTTGTAAAATCAAGAGATGTTACGCAGACCTTCCATGTATTTCCTCCCTGGTGACCTGTGATTCGAAACATCACCTCAGTTGTATGCACCGAGACAACGTCCCACCAGTCGTCCGGTCGTCCAGTTGGTGTCCCAATGGCCCGAGGCTGTTCAGCATGAAGCGGGCTCGAAGGAAGTTCCTCCAGAGGCCGTTTCAGCCTGTTCAGCTGTCAGGATGTCAGCTCCATGCAGGATGTCAGTATGTCAGTTTCTCTTCAGCTGCTGTTCTCGGTTTTTTGAGGTTCCCACGGCGATGTCCAGCTCTTTCCAACTAATTCATGCCATGAATTCACGTGTTCCACGGCTTCGCTTTGTGGACTTCATCTTTCAGGGCTTGTGAGGCTAGGAATGTCGTGACGAAAACAACGACAGGAAGTCAGCAGAATTGGGAAGGTACTTGATTTCCCAGATTTCTTTCGGCTGGGACACACGATCCGTGCGACATGTGATAGTGGGGACACGGGGACACAGAACATGAAGTCAACTTTCGCATTTTGGCAGCTGCGCAGGAGGACAAGGAAAGTGCAATGAAGACCACCAGAACCGACATTTGGAGACTGAGGTACAGAACCTCATATGAGTCCTCATATGAGGCTTTATGTTTCCCATTGAATCTGGTTCATTCTCATATGAGTTCTCATCCGGTTCTCCACGCCAAACATCACCTCCGCGGCATTTGACCGGAGGCACCAGCGAGCCGAGCGGATACTTTCGCGGAACCGGCGGAGGTGCGGTGGGGTCGTAAAGGACCGAAGGATGAAAGCGAAGGCATAGGAACTAAAGGGAGGATGCCTGCCTATAATTTTAGCTGGCTATTTATAGCTTATATCGTGACTGCTAGCTGCTAGTAGATAGTGACTTGAGGAGTTTCAAAGATGCATGCGATGATTGATCGATGAATATTGATGATCATTTGAGGGTTGATTTCTTATTGATGTGCACACTCGTGGTGGCGCGGAGGCCAGACCATCGGAAGCACCTGCTGAGGCCAGACCATCTTTTGGCAGATTCAAAAATCAGTAAACAGTAAGATTTTAGATCAGTAAGTGCTGAGCCGTTGACCCGCCCTTAACAGGCTTTTTTTGCTGAGGCCAAGTAAGACAGTTGTGATTGAAGAGATGTTTGATCACATTCTGACAGAGTTGCAGTTAGACACATACAGCACACTATGATGTTGCTTGTGTGGGGTGGTAGAGCATGGCCAAGCAGATTTTCTAGACAAACAAGTCCTGTAATTGCATGTGTGGATGCACTAACCTAGCTCCGGATCTAGTTTGGTGTTGCTCCCTGCCTGATGCCTGACTCCAATGTCAGAATTGGAAGGTTTATCATTGTGTTCCTTGAAACTTGGTGCTTTGAAGCAATCAATTCAGCTACACTATTTGATCATATTTGATCTTATTAACATCAAATGCATGCAATTAATTCCAAACATGTGATGATTTGGGTGTTTCATGGTGTTTCTTACTTGTTGGCTTTTGCTGTCCTCACGACATGTTCTCACACAGCTTAGACAATATATCGTGACTCCTTTTCGCTCCTCTACGGATCTCCGACGTCCACCGGTGGTTCGCCACCCGCCAGGCGGGCTGACCGAGCTCGTTCGCAGTTGAGCTCCGCCCTCGGCGCGCGGGGGGAAGGTGATCGAAGAGAGTCCAACGGCCGAGCTCGGCGTTTGGAAAAAGAAGGGTGTGCTGGAAATTAGGGGAAGTGACAGCGTTTTGCTGGACTCTATAGTGAGATGTGAGAATGGTTCTCTTCAAGAACTGCCATGAAAGGTAATTACACCTGCGTAAGTACACCTGGGTGCATTTGGGTACCTTGATTGAAATTGTGAAAAGGGAGTCACTCAGAAGGTAGACTTGTCAGGCATAGTAGGCCAGACTGGTTTATTATTGCAAGTGGCAAGATGCTTGAGCCATTCGCCTCCTTTCACTGGATCTTGAGCAAGTGATTGAATGCCATAGTTGCCAAATACCAAAGCCATTAGCACCCCGCATGAGCCGACCTCTAGGCTTTAAAATTCATCAATTGCATGGTGGTCTCATGGACAGATTCATCTTCGAGTCTGCATTATAGTTTTCTATTAGTTTTCTATAGTGGATCCATTGCATGAATTTGAGCCAGGATTGGATGCATGAGGTAGTGCACACTTGTCGGCATGCACCATCAGCCAGTGGCAAATGGTTCAGCGCACCTGAGGCGCGGCTGAGGTCGCGTGACGTCTTTTTCGTGTGGTGGACCTTTTCTCCATCACTTGTCATAGAAAACCATAGAAAATACAGCCAGTTGAGCGTTAAGCATGTGGGAGCTAAGGCGTATAGTGTTTTTTTTTGGCCGAACAACAGCTCTGCACCTGTATTGCATTCCCGCTAACATTTTGGCTGGTTTACATCTCAGGCATCCTGTTTGACTGCACCACTCCTGATCGGAAGGACACCATGGGCACCAGGAGCGAACTTAAGAATCCATTGCAGCCGCTGTGGGGGTCCCACTTTTCCACCCGCAGACGAAGACACATTACGAAGACACATTCAAGCACAGCCACCTCTCCTCCCGCAATGTGAAGACGATTTCCGCAGACGAATTCTCCGAAGACGAATTAGACCCCGAAGACGAATTAGACCCTGAAGACACTTTCCGCAGACGAATTCTCCGAAGACGAATTAGCCCCCGAAGACGGATTGGACCCCGAAGACGCTTTCCGCAGACGAATTCTCCGAAGACGAATTGG